TTGGCTATGTAGTTGCAGTGGGCTCTAGCACTTAGATCATTAGAGGTTACCTTTATCATTAGATAAATTAGATTAGAGGTTACATTTATCATTAGAGGTTACATTACCCTTGATATTTTCCCAATCTTGAAAATGGCCTCCAAAAATGGGGTGGAAATGAAATGGAGACAAGGAGGTGTTCCTGGCCAAGGAAAACTCAGGGATTGTGCAACCCCTATAGCAGCTGCATCCTTTTTTTTTTTTAATCTGTTGAGCTGTTGAGCCCATTTAGTTAGGTGGATCCACACAGCCGCCGGCAAACTTCACTTCCACACGCTTTTCTAATTGTCTTTTTAAAGCCGTTTAAAGATGGTCAACACAGTAGCAAACTCCTGAAGTTCCACTTAGCAAAAAGAGCTTCCCCCTCATGACTCTTTATCGGAGTCTAATATTTTGAGATAAAGTGGTGCAGGCACCACTCTGGCCTTTCCGAAGACCATAAAGTGTTCGGGGCTGGTGGGAATTTTGAAAGCGTGGCATCATAAAATGGCTGCCGGGGGCTTGCCTATCACAGAACGGCTGCTGTTCGGAGGGGGGAAATCAGTCCGCCCCCCACTCCAGATGGCAAGTTGTTTGATGGCTCCCTGTCACCCCCAGAATCACCCTGCCATCTGTCCGATTACCTTTGTGATGTTTTTTGTGTGTGTGTGCGTGTGTGTGGTTCGTTCGCATCCAGCGGCCTGAGTTTTAACTCGCCTTGTGTGTTGGTTTTGTTTGTTTTTAATTTTAATGTGCGTGGATCTCTCCGGGACCTTAGGTGAAAATAACGATGATGCTAGAAGGAGAGCATTTGCTTTTCTGCATGTCAGCTCCTAATTAAAAGAGAGAGAGAGTTCCTCAACTTTCTTGGCAGAAGTTCAGAAGTGCAAAAATAAAGGTTGTTTATGATTTAGGAGGAGAAGGAGTGGGGTGGGGGGGAAGACATCAAAAGGAAACATCCAGAAGAGCCATAATACAACAAAGATGCTGACAAGCACTAGGAAGAGGACAGAGAAGAGCAACAAAGATGATTAAGAGCCCCGGAGGCTTAAACCTTGCCAGGAGTCCTTGAGTTACAACCACATATTGACCCCAAAATGCCATGTTTCTTGGGGGGGGGGTTGCTCCATTTTACGACTTGTGGGAAGCGAAGTTTTCCAACGGCTTTAAATCCACATTGCTTAAAGGGACTCAACAACAACTCCGTTAAAAAAACAACGCAGCCATGACAGGGGTTGCATCAAAACAGTGGTCGCCAACTGATGGGCTGGGAGAAAATTTTGGTGGTCCGCAGAGAAATGTCCCCTCCCCAAAGCAAGACTGCATGGGAACACAAGGCTGCGCCGCCCACATGGCCCGCCCGCCCGCGGCCTCCACCCTTCGGCCAAGCACAAACCTTACCTTGAGCAGAGCCACGCAAGCTGGAACTGGAAGGCGAGACCAACGGCGGGGGAGGGAAATCCGCCCCACAGTGGCTTGCTGGCATTGGTGGGAAAGTGGGTCCCATATTCCAGAGCTGCAGGAGTCACAGGACTGGCTCTTTGGTCATCCCAGAGCAGCTCCTCCAGTCCATGGCAGGCCGGTGCACCCGGGTGAAGAAGCAGCTGCTCCGGGATGACCAAAGGGCCAGTCCTGTGACTACTGCAGCTCTGGAATACGGGACCCACTTTCCCACCAATGTCAGCAAGCCACCGTCAGTCAAAATCCGTATTAGTGGTCCACGGGATCTAAAATTATGAGTTTGGTGGTCCCTGAGGTCCAAAAGGTTGGCGACCCCTGCATTAAAGCATCAAACAGCTTGGGGGGGAAAAAGAGGAGGCTGCTTTAATGAGAAACAGAAAGCGATTATGATAGTCTGAGAAAGACATTACAGAGGATGGTGAGCACAGCCTAAAATATTGTGGGCTGTTCCCTGACACCACTGGATGAACTCACTAGGGCTCGCTGCCTTAGAAGAGTGAGGAAAATCCTCAGGGACGACTCGCACCCCGGTCAGTACTTCTTCACTCTCCTACCATCGAGTAGGAGATAGAGAAACATAGCCAGCCGCACCAACAGGCTGAAGAACAGTTTCTACCCGTGGGCTGTCGGACTCCTGAACTGAAAGTAACTTCATGTCAACGTAGTAGGATAGACTTGCAGGGCTGGTGCGTTGTGCAACAAGGTCACATATTGTAGTAAGATTGGGATTGGGTTAGGGACTTGTTCTGACCCAAGCCTCGTTCAAAGCAAACAAATACCAAACAGATAAAAGCAAATCCTTTTTAATGCTCCTCTGTGAATTCTGTTCATTCACAGTGAAACGCTATTAAAAACTAATTGTCCCAGATAAGAATGAGCCTAGCCAAGGTTGCGCCAAGGCTGCCAAGAACACTAGATTAAATTGCAAGGAAATAATCAAAACCAAATGTCTCCAAACACAAACCAGGATAGTCCGAACTTCCACAAGGCTTGAAGTGTAAGAACTTGCTTCCTGCAAAGAATCCCACCTCTGGGAGCTGGCTTTTATCCCTTAAGGGAGGGGCCATCACCTTGCAGCCTTACTCCCGAAGTCACCCGTGCTGCTGCAGCTGCTCTTTCCTTCGAGCAGCCCTGCGCGCGCACGGACTGGGCACAGGCTCCTCGGGGGCCTCTTCCTCACTGCTGCCAGCCTCCACCATCTCCGAAGGCAGCACTCCACTCCCTGATGGTCCTGGTCCCATCCCTGCATCACACACAGGCCCCTCATCTGAGTCCTCGCTCTCCGAGACCCCAGCCGTCCGCACCTGCTGCCGGCGAACCACAACAGGACTTCTGTCCTCACTGTGAGTTGTGTTGGGTGTGTGTGTGCGTGCACAAAGAGAGGCTCAGCCAATCTCACTGTACACATGTTGTACCCTGACAATAAAGGTAATAATAATTAGCCCTCCTTCCTCTCATTTCTCTCTCCACCGCAGCTGTCAGGTATGCTGGGCTGAGAAAGACCAACCTCACCTAATCAGCTTGTAGGACTAAGTGCCTTTGATGGTGGCAAAGCCAGGATCAGTGTCACAGCCTTAACCAATAAAGGCCTTTCTTGCTCCAGACCTAGAGAATGCAAAGAAGCCGCTTTTGCCAGCTTGTTCCTAATCTACGTGTGCCGTAAGAGGTTCTGCTCAGGATGCTCTTAATCTGTTGAGGTGTGGCAGATGGGTCCTCAGGAATCTTAACCCCACCCCCCAATAAGATGGCCTTCCCTAATTCTGGAGCATTCTTTCCCATGAGCCTAATTTATGGTGTCGAATGTTTTTCCCCCCCCCCCCCCATCATCACAGCTGTCCTAGCGTTTCTGCTCTGATGCTTTGCTTTCTAAGTTGATTCATCTTCGATATTTTTTTAAGCTTTTTAAACCTCTGCTGCTTTTAATTTGCCGCTCTTCTACAATTTGGCTTTAATTGCTTTGTTGTGTTTTTGATTTTGATTTACATGACTTTTCCTGGGGGGTTTTGATGGCACCTTGCCCTGGGAGCTATTAGCTCCGGGGGCTGACGGTTATAAATCTTCAGCATGCATAAGTCAAACTGTGACACTGGGATGGGGGGGGGGCTGTGGTTCGGGGCTGCTCACAACCACAGCCACTGAAAAGGATCCAGTTTCTTAGGAAAAGAAATTAGAAAAGACAAGAGGGCTTGCGGGCTCAACGACAGAGTGAGCTCATTCTCTTTTTAAAACTGAAACGACAGATGCAAACAACCGCCAAAGTAAACCCCAGCAAAACCATCGTTCTCAAACGCTTTGCGCCGACTGTCTTCTTTTCAAATTAATTGGCAAAAATCATTTTTGATTCATTGTTCACCCACTGCGTGAATGAGCCTACATTTGCTTACCTTAATCATTCACTTTAAAGAATGTTTCAAAGGTACAATTTTCTCCCAGGATTTTGGTAATGATGACATGGGGGGCGGCGGAATGAGCTCATTCAGCCTTTGCACAAAGTTTCTTCCTTCCTCCCCGAGTTCCTTTCTGAATGGAAACCCTATCGTTGGAAAAAACAGGACTTTTCCTGTCTCTTCTTCTTAAAAGTTTTGCAGAATTTCAAGCCAGGCGGGGCCAAGGAACCTGCAAAAGCTGGTGGGGGGGGGGTTGGTTTCAACCTCACCGCGCTCTCAATTCCTCAGAGCAATGACGGCGGACAACCGCCAGTTTTGGCTTTAGCTTTAGCTTTAACTCAGAAGCAGAAATTCGTACCGTTTTTATTTTGCAACAAGATGCTGCCTCTCTCCCTTTGACAAAATTCCCACCTGAGATTTTAGACAGCGCTTGTGATGACCCAAAGGGGCGTGACACAAAAATAACACGGTCGCAAAAGTAGAATAAATTCCCTCCAATTTGGGCCCCAATGTCCAATTATCCGCGGCTGGATATCAAACTCTTCCAAAAACAGTCTACGAGGTAAAGAAATGCCGTCCGAACCCAAAGTAAAGATAATTAGAAATTTTAAAAAAGCACCACAAACCATGCTGAAGTAATTAACACGGCAGGCCAAGATAATAAATTGCAGACTTTCAAAGGATAACGAAGCGCCCACAGTTGGGAGGATGCCAAAACCCAGATAAGCCTCGACCAAGATAATGCATGCTTTGCTTCCAGCAAGGAGTTGTGTGCAAACGCCCCTCTTATATCCTGTTCTCCCAGCTGCAACTAATAAAAGGGATCAGGGCCTTTTCCTCTCCCGTAAGCCACGTTGCTCCCTTCTCCGTTCCTCCCTGTGTGCACTAGGATGGAGAGGGTCTTCCTCTGAATGCCCAGCCGGACTGTGCCCTTCCCCTATTTCTTCCACAGTCACCAGAGCTACACTCCCACTCCCTGTCAGCTGCTCAATCTCCCCCTCAGAATCAGACTCCAACAAGGGCATGACAAAAAGAAAGGAAGAGAGGGAGGGAGGGAGGGAGGGAGGGAGGGAGGAAAATGAGCAGAAGGAAGGAAGCTGTGTTGGGACGGTGGTTAGAATACAGTATTGCAGGCTAATCGACTGCCCACTGCCAGCAGTTTGATCCTGACCGGCTCAAAGTTGACTCAGCCTTCCATCTTTCCGAGGTGGGTAAAATAAGGACCCAGATTTCTGGGGGCAAGAGGCTGACTCTGTAAAACTGCTAAAACTGCTTAGTAAAGCACTGTGAAGCGGTATATAAATCTAAGGGCTATTGCTGTTAAGAAAAAAAACCAGGGATATTTCTCCTCCTGCGGTTCCCGGAATTACTTCCTGACAGTTTACCCGTCCTTGGGGGGAGGGAGAGGAGGGGGCGTTTAAGCCTCTTTCAACTGTGACGGTACCATCTTTGGCCCGGGCTGCTTGTTAACCTGGTCAAGGGAACAGATGTAGTTTTGTTCTGGAAATCATCAGAGAAGAACTGTTCATGGGCACAACGGATCATTATCCTTCTCTAGAGATGAGGGCCCTTCTGCCCCATTAAGGCATCTGTTCCACAAGGCTGGCGACTCAGCCAATTAGCCAAATGTGCCTCCTAAACCCGGTGATTACCATTTCAGCGGATTAATCAGGCTAATTGATTAGCGCTCACGGGGGGAGGGGGGGCTAGGCGGTCCTAAGCCCCCCCCCATGCCGGAAGCCGGAGCAAAAGGTGTGGCAATCTCGTGGGTGCCTGCCCTTCTCTTGGCCGCTGGGGCCACCTAGTGGCCGGTCCTCGGCTTGCAAGCGAGGCAGCCACCTGCTTACCTGGAAAAGCCAGCGCAGAACAGGGGGGGGACACTTGGCTAGTCCGTGATAGATGAACCCGAGGCTGCCACTGTGGAGGATCGCCAGCTGCTGAGAGGACCTGGAGCTGCAGGGAGAAAGGCAGAGAATTCAAAAAGATGTTGAGGCTCTAGAAAGAGGGCAGAGAAGAGCAACCAGGATGATTAAGGGGACTGGAGGATAAAACATACGATGGACGGTTGCAGGAACTGGG